ATTTTATTTTTTAATATTTTTTTTAATAAAAAAAATTTAATTTTTTTCTATTAAAAAAAATATTAAAAAATAAAAATAAATGAAAAATGGCTAAAAATCCGAAAATAATAAAAAATAAAAAAATAATAAAAATTATATTTTTTGATTTGGTAGCAAATTTTTAGGAATTTGGAAGGAGATTTTTAGGAATTTGGAAGGAGATTTTTAGGAATTAGATTATTGTTATGGAAAGAAAGAAAAAAAGGAATAATTGAGACTAATTATCCTAATTGACATAAGGGTACAATTGGGAATACAAATTCTAGGGGGCTAACACAAGTCACGAGTCTGAAGAAGATGATACAAACAATGTTGGAGAAGCAAATAATTTGGAACCAGAGATTGAAATCGTATCAAATGGATCGTCTTTTGCTACTCCTCTTAAATCTGGTAGTGCTAATAGTTCTCAAAACCATGAAGGTCTAAAAGGAGGTGCCACAGGAGAGCCAACTCAGCTTGACAAGGGTGCAACAGAATACGAGCCATCATTGGTTGAGGACCAGATTGTTTACGTGACAACCCACTACCAGACTGTGATTAACTCTTCTGGAACTCCTCGGAAAGATGATATTTGTTCTCGTGTGGATGAGGAGCAGCTCGATAATGAAGAGCGCAAGGAGCAGCTGGATTCACCGCCATCGGTTGTTCTACCTAAGCAAGAATGTGATACGAAAAACTTACACAAATTTGTGCCCAAACAAGAATGCGATGCACAAAACATGCCCAAATTTGTGCCAAAGCTTCCTTCATGCAGCAATTTCCAGCAGACAGAGAAACCGAAAAGGAGACTTCAACCAGCTTGTATTCCCAATTGTACCCTTATGTCAATTAGGATAATTAGTCTCAATTATTCCTTTTTTTCTAGGGGGCTATCACAAATTCTAGGGGGCTAACAAGCAATTTCTTGCTTGTTCCTTATATCAAAAACTCAATCAAAATTCTCCTCCTTCTTCTTCTTCTTCTTCTTCTTCTTCGATCATTACATAGAATTCAATTAAGATATTGTATGAAAGTATGATTTCTTCTATTCTCCTTTGAGAATTGGAGGATTTTTGGTTGGGTGGGTTCAAAGAAAAAGAAGGATTTTTTGTCTACCTTACTTACTTTCTTCCTTGTCCTCCTCCTCCTCCTCCTCCTCCTGCTTCTCCTTCTTCTGCTTCTTCTGCTTCTTCTTCTTCTTCTGCTTCTTCTTCTTCTTCTTTTGCTTCTCCATGGCCTAAAACCTAGCCGCCGCTTCTCTTCTCCTCCATGGCCGGCGACCACGGCGACCACTAAACCAATTTTCTTCCTCCCCGGTGGTGGTACTCTTCTCTCTATCTTTCCTTTTCTATATTTTCTGTGAACACCACCCGAATTTTCTCCCTCCCCTGGTGGTGTATCTTCTCTATTTTTTCCGTTCTTCTTCTTCCTCTTTTCTTCTCCATGGTCTAAAACCTAGCCGCCGCCTCTTCTCTTCTCCATGGCCGGCGAACACCACCCAATCTTCTTCCCTCCTCTCTCATCTCTTCTATCTATCTCGATAAAAAAAAAAGGGTTGCTTATTTCTCTCTCACCCGTTTATTATTATTATTTTTTTTTTTTTAAATTGGGCAGATATTTCCACAGAGTAATTCTCTAGCGTTGCGATCTTCGCTGTTTCTGTCCAATCTTCACTTTTGAAGTTTATTCGTTCCGACTGCGGGAGCGTGCCAGCAAGTGATTGTCCAGTCTTCACGTTCGTCATGTTTGACTGCGGGGGCGTATTAGAGTATATTATATTATAATAACTCTTGTAATATTAGGATTCTAGTATGATTGAGTTACCTAGATTAGTTAGGATTTAGTTACCTAGTCAAACTCTATTACCTTGCATTATTTCTCTATATATATTCCATGTAATCAACTCATAACATAATGGGGGTTTCTTTTACGTAATATTATTTTTCTCTTTCTCCTATTCTATTCTTCCTATAGTAAGTGGTCAAAAAAAAAAAAAGAGTAAAAATGTGAAATAATTAGGGCTTGTTCGATTATTGATATCGAATTAGATTGTATTAGGTGAAATTGGATAAATTTTCTATCAATTAGTTAACTGTTTAGTTACTGACGTTCGATGCATTGAATTAGATCATGTGTTACAAATGTTAAATTTAGGTATTATATGAGATTTTGTCTATAAAAAAATTTATTCAATAAAATTAACGCGTGGTTTGAAGGATATAATAACATTTTACTTGTTTAGTCACCTCCTGTTAGATTAATCTCGACGGGGGAAGGATGCTGCTAATTTATTAAATAGTTGCATTTCATAGGGGACTTTGATTTTAGTAGCAGGTTTGAAAATAATATGAATCTTGCACATGGAACGTGTTACTAACCCCTACTATTCAGTCAGTAGAACCTTAAAGCGATAAGCGAACAAGCACTAAAAATGATTCGATTGTTGAGATTCATCCATATAAATTAGTTATATATAAGGGTGTGAATGATCGTGTCGACTGTTTCTGAACAATCTCATAAGAAAATCGACATTTGTCGAGTCGAAGATTTACGTCTAATCAAGTTTTAATGAAATTGATGAAAATCATTTTTCTAATAACCGCGAAACTTCTGCACATGGCACGTCCCTATCTGTCTCTAGCCCTTGGGATTTTCCTCCAACATTTTGAATTCTATATATATATATATATTTCAAATCAAACGCTTTGTTCTAATTATAAACATTAAATCTGTATAATACTTGATCTTTACCTTTTCACAAAACATGTTTATAAATTGTGGTTATCCGACGTTTGTTCACGTCTTATACCGACACTAATACAGTGTGATTTGTCAGGTAATCTTTTCGATTCCACAAAATATTATTCAAAAAATTGTCGATTTTACTCCTATAAACGTGACATTTCTTTATGATATTTTTTAAAGACAAAAAGTACCACCAGAGGCCTTTACACGTAATTTTTATCCTTCTCGAATAACACATTCACAACTTTTAAGTACTACCATTACATCTGTGAGAGAGAGTAATTTTTATCTTTAAAATGTAGCATAAAAAAATATCCCGTCTGTGGAGTACAATCAACATTTTTCGTGAAATATTCTCTCAAATGAAAAAAATTCCATAAGAAATCACACCGCAATAAGTGCAAAATTGATGAAATTTTGATAATTGCGGATTAATGAAATATTTTTTATAATTTAGCCTAAATTCAACGGAATTTTCACACTTTACCATAGTATTTAAGGTATCTATAAACAATAGGGTAATTACGCATTTTTTATAATTTAACCAAAATTCATCGATATTTTTTTAAAATTGAAAGATATTTCCAAACAATTTTAAAGAACTTATAAGCTAAAAGTGAAAGCAGCGTATAGCTATGCCAAACACCCTCTGTAGCTAATTCGAACTCCACACACTATAAACACAAATTCAAAACTCAGACAAAAAATTCCAACAAATCTGAACAACCATAGATTCAACTCGACTCAATTTACTTAAAAGTACATTAAATACAAAACAAATCATTTCCAAAAAAATACAAAATAAACAAATAAACTTAAGCTATATATCAGCACAAAATAATCGCTAAAATCCAGTATTATTATATTATATATACTAAAATTGTCACGTATTATTATTTTATTTATTTATTTATGATAGGATCTGAGAATATTCCCACATAAACTACATACAATAGCTTTCCACGACTTCCAATAAAAAGGTATATAGCAAAACCTAGTCACCGTCTGCATGTCCGCCACCCTCGCGCTGCGCCGGCACCGCGAACACATCCCCGCCGCCGCCTTGCTCCGCCGCACCACTATCTTCTGATCCACCAAAAAGCAGAAACACACCATATATTTAATTTATACCTTCTCATATATATATATATATATATATATATGTATCATGTATGTATATATAATATATATTTACAAATCAGAGAATATAGAGAAAGGGATCCATCTCTCTCCCTTATTTTATTTTTTCGACACGTAGTTTTTTCTCGTTCTTGCTACTTGACACGTGTCGGGTTCAGCTTGATATACTTATGTACGTAATTATTAAGAATGGAAAATTAATATAAAATAATAGGAAAATCGAATCAGGATTCTGGAAATTGTGTACTTTCCAAAATTATTAGAACGAGACTCTAATTCATTTTTGCATTTTTAGTATTTTTCTATTAAGGTTTTTAGTTTTACTAGTGTAAAACTGTCTCAGGACTTTATTTTTGCTTCAAACATAAAATTTTATAAAATTTCTGAGTAGATTCCAGAACTTTTTTCGTTCTATGCTGTTAATTCGTTAAAAATAATTCCATATTCTTCTAAAATATCT